TTAAAAGTAAGTTTTTGTTTTTATAAATATAAAAATAAAAATGCAAATATTCTTAATCTGTCACATCTAGAACAAATAATTTCAATATTTTAAATTGACTATGAATTAATAATATGTGTAATGAGAGAGTAGTAAAATAATATCAAATAATTTTCACAAATAAAAAGATAATAGAAAAAAATTCAAAAGCCAGTGTATTAAAACATAATTATATTTGTACATAATTAAATTACTAACGATTATTTTGTAAATTTTTCCTTATGTTTATAAATGTAAATTATTACCATTAAAATATCAATTCATTTGTTGGATAGAAAACTTAAATTTATGTTTTTATTTTGTTATCAATTTATTATCTTTTCTAAAGTTTAAGAATAAACACACAACATAAATGTAACATAAATATAATTATAAAATATATGAAATGATATAAAATAACTTAAATTTGTATAGATTTAATTTTAAATATATTTTATTCTAAATTTTAACCAACCACGACAAATTTTAAATTTATTTCATCTTGATTTTGCAAATTTTACTAATAATTTCAAATGAAAATAAAAACTTATCTTTTATTATTTTAGTTTAATTGTTCAAAAATTATAAGTAAGTTTTGAATCCAATATACATTTTTTCTTACATATTTATAATGATATTTTAGTCTTATAATAATTCTTATAAAAATTTAAAAAATAGAGGACTAAAACTGTTTGAATTTAAAATAAAGAGATTAATTCTGTGAATCGGATAAAATAGGGAGATTAAAATTATAATTTAACCAAAAAATTATTATCATCTAATAATAAATTCACGTAACATATCATATTAATAAAAAGTAAATAAGTATACAAATATATGTATGTGATCTGATTTGATTTTGATCGATTTTGAAAAATTAATTCGAAATTCAACTAGAACCGATCGGTTTTCACAAAATGACATTCACACATCCAATAAATTTTTGTTTTTTGCGATTTTCGGTTTTTTAAATCGATATTAAATTTTTTTATTTAAATTGATTTAGATTTAAACACTCATAATATTCAATTAAGTTTTTTAGAAATTATTATTAATATTAAAGTTTTCAGTATTGTACAAATTATTATTTATATTATTATTATTATTATTATTATTATTATTATTATTATTATTATTATTATTATTATTATTATTATTATTATTATTATTATTATAATATATTGTTATTATTATTATAATTACACATAGGTAATTAGAGTTGAAAATTAATATTAAATATTCTAAGAAAATGCCACATAGATAATTAAGGTTAGTATCACATAAATAATTAAGATTAAGATTATGATTAAAATTATATTACGACAATCTTGGATTTAGATTAAATAAATTTAGTTATTTTCCACAAATTAATAAGTAAATAGTTAATTTTACATTAAGAAATAATTGTTTCATTATTAGCCTAAAAAGAGTTATAAATAGTAAAATATATAATAATAAAAATTATTTTATTGATATTTTAAAAATACTTATAATTTGATACTATTAAGTAAAATTAAATTTTAAATCTTAACACGTGTTTTCTTTAAAGGGTGTGTGTTAAATATTTTTGGATTTTATTCTCAAAAAATTAGTTCAAAGGTTGAGGTTAGTTTCACGTATTCATATAATTAATAATTCAAAAATTTAAAAGTAATATAAGATTTCAAACAAACTCCCACAATACAAATATCAATTTCAACACTCATTCTCACGTCTAGCGAGTACCTGGGTCGAATGCCCACATTGCAGTTTTTAATCCAACTTTAATATTATATTAAATATGCATGAGCTTCATCCTCAAAAGCTAGCTTTAAGAGTGTGGTTGCCTTCACATAAGCAATATGAGACTTTCAACAAACTCCAACAACACAAATATCAAGTTCGACAGTCATCTTCACACCTAGCGTGGACCTGGGTCAAATGTTCATATTGCAGTCCTTAACCCGGAACTATGGTACCAAGCTAAATATGTTTGAATCTCTATCGCAAAAACTATCTCAAAGAGTGAGATTGCCCTCACATATTTATATACCTAACAACTCAAAAATCTAAACAATGTGGAATTTCAAACAAACTTCAACAACACAAACACATATTCAACACAAAACTGCAGTCAATGAGTAATCTCTAAAAAATAAAACTCTAGAAAGAACATTCACTCATCGAAGCACCACCTAGCCAAAATCTCGACTAGAACTCGGACCATTAGACCTACCAACGGGAGAAAACCGGCTAGTAAAACCAAAATCACTTAAACACCTATTAAAACACCTATTAAAACAAGTATGATTTCTGATCACCTATCAATCTAGACACATGAGAGGGTGCTGAAGTCAATTGAAGAAGGAGTTTGAGTTAAATGAAGATATGCTTATAAATCAATTTCAAATAAATAAAAAAAATATTCTTGTCTTCTATCTCTTTCACATTTGTTGACAAAGCAGAAAACAATTTATGATTACATACCGATTGAATGGCTCACACCACAACATAGCATATCACAACAAAATCTCTCATACTCTTAACATCATATCCTAAATATATAAAAAAAACTCAGAGAATTCTAAGCTCACCAAGAATTACCACTTAAAAATCCAACAACTTAAGATATTATACCATACAATAGAAGTTAAGCTACAACTAATAAACAAATGAAAAATATACTCTAAACACATATGAAAGACCAAAATTGAATAAAATCTCCTTAATTTTACTATTCAAGACCAACATTGAAAAATATACTTTATTACGATTTTTTCTTTTTCTCCTATATATAAAGCTCCTTAAAAATCTTAATGCTTTGGTTGGATTTATGAATTAAAATAGAAGCGATGAAATCCATTTTGGATTAATTAAAAAATAATGGAATGGAATAAAATAATGTATTTCATCTCATTTCATCACTTTATATCATTTTTTATATCTCTAATTTAAGCAAAATGACAAATATATTGTGTTCTATCATGAAAACAGTAGAATGATATTTTTACTTTATTCTTCTCTATTCTATTTTATTATGCTCTAATATGCTCCATTTCATTCTATTTATTTTTTAATGTCCAAATATAACCTAAAAGTCATTCAAGAATTTTTTGACATTTTCTTTTATGAAATATGTCACTTGAGCTAATTGTAAATTATATGGCCCTTATTTAATTTATTTTTTTCTATTTTAAACTATTGAGCTAGACCAAGTTTGAGTTATTGAGCTAAATTGAATTGCTCACGAACTTTGATTGAATTGAGTTCGGACTAGAAAAAATTGTAACAATCTCAAATCAAATTTTGAACGTAACCCATTTTTATCGTGTCGAGACAAATTACTTCATTTCCAACCCTAAACATGAGACTTGAGATTTTATATAGCATATCACAATATTACATAAAGTGATAAATCAAAATAATTTAAAATAATTAAGTTCTTTAATTACATCTATTGCTTCCACAATTCGATAGCTCTTCAATAATTAGCACATTTTAGGAATTGAGCTAATGAACTATATACTCTATCATGTAAGTAAAAGCTCAAAGATATATGATCTAAATTGGATCACATATTTCATTTTCGGTTTATATTTAAGATTAGAGGGAGGACATGCATGTAAATATCTATATTCTATAAATAAATGAATACAACAATACATGATTCTGTGAGACAAGACATAAAGAGTTCATGAAAGGGCTTACATACAATTTCCAGGCTCTTCACAGCAACCATATAAACCTGTTGTCCATTTTCCAGTTGGAGGACCATTAATGTTGGGAGTTTGTGCACCATTATACATTTTGAACCTTAATTAGCGAATGAAATATTGTTGATTTAACAAGTCTATGCAACTATATATATTCCTACTTCATTAGCATAGTTCTGAAATTGTACAATATTGGGACATGGCACCCTCACCTATATGTTGGTACAACAAAACTTGTTAGATATATTATTATCTGAACTTTGGCAAAAGACGTGCTTATAAGTATTATTTATTATAATGCATTGCAATGCTCAACACTTCAAGAAAAACTATAAACCTTTAAAATTTTAGTTCACTACTCATGAACTCGTTTGCTTTAAAAACTTAACTCAGTACTAATTATAATGTAAACAACATCAAATAATCAGAAAGCACGCCTATACTGCATGGCTGTGTGCTGTGTTGATCACATTGGAGTTCTTTAGAGACTTTCATTCATTTGCAGCGAGAATCCAACTCATTCCAACACACCAACAAACAAAATCGAATAAGTTGTGTTACCAATTATGCAACGCATTCCAACACAAAACAAACAAAATTGTATAAGCGTGTTACCAATAATCCAACACATTCCAACACACCACAAACAAAATCGTACAACTTCATTACCAATGATTAAACACATTCCAACACACCACAAACAAATTTGTAATGACCCAACATGTTCCAACACACCACAAACAAAATCGTATAAGCGAGTTACCAATGATCCAACGCGCTCCAACACACCACAAACAAAACCGTATAAGCACGTTACCAGTGATCCAACGTGTCCCAACACACCACAAACAAAATCATATAAGTGTGTTACTAAATGATCCAACACACCACAAACAACATCGTATAAACGCGTTACCAATGATCCACCAATACACCACAAACAAAATTGTATATGCGTGTTACCAATGATCCAACGCATTCCAACACACCACAAACAAAATTGTATAAGCGTGTTACCAATAATCCAACACGCCTCAACACACCACAAACAAAATTGTATAAGCATATTACCAATAATCCAATGCGTCCCAAGACACCACAAACAAAATCATATAAATGAGTTACCAATGATCAAACACGTTTTAATACACCACAAACAAAATCATATAAGCGTGTTACCAATGATTCAACATGTTCCAACATACCACAAACAAAATTGTATAAGCATATTACCAATAATCCAATGCGTTCCAAGACACCACAAACAAAATCATATAAATGAGTTATCAATCATCCAACGCGTTCCAATACACCACAAACAAAATTATATAAACGTGTTACCAATGATTCAATGTGTTCCAACATATCACAAACAAAATTGTATAAGCATGCTACCAATGATCCAATGTATTCCAACTCACCACAAACAAAATTGTATAAGCATGATACCAATGATCCAATGCATTCAAACACACCACAAACAAAAACGTATAAGTGTGTTACCAATGATTGAAGCATAAGCAGTGAAAATGGCCTAAAAGTTCAAAGTCTAAATTGCTTTTTTCAAGATATGTAGTTTAACAATAATCAATTGATACAATTCTTAACAACAATCTGTATTATCTCAACCATCCTAGATTTCATTATTTTTTGTTCCAAGATCATCAAAAAGTCTGCATCAACGAGTTTTATGCTTTTTTGTCTGGCTTTGAACTTGAAACGCAGCAGAAATCTTCCTCCAGCAGCGGATGGAGATGATCGAGGGTATTACAATCCAAGAGAAATTTGCTCCAATGTAGTACGCGTAGTAGTAAAATGAATTTGTAGAAAAATTATCGCCTTCCAAAATCGCTGTTATGTAATATACAGCAGTTCCATATAGCTGACCCAAAGAAACGGCAAATTGAAGTATGTAGCTGTATGATTTGCCGGTCGTTATCGCATATCTGTCATCCATATTAGAAAACACAAACAGTGAGAAAAATCAAACAAGATAGAATATTATCTTCCTAGTTGATGCATCATATCATTAGAATATGTTTGATTTGCAGTTTCAAAAGCATGCTCGATCCCAAATTAATTAACTATTGAGTTTAACTTACACGGCCAGTAGACTGGCTGGACCCTCCAAAACTGCTGTTAGTCCTTCAACAGTTACTACTGCTGCATCCCTTCCTGCATACCTTGAATCTCCTTTGCTATATTCCTTCCCTATTATACTCGGAAAAACTCATGAATTAGATAAGTTCAAATAAGTCAAATCCAAACAAGTCTTAAAAGTGTATATCTCTCAAAGGGTATGTTAAATTCTAACAATGTTGTAGATGTGTTCAACATCCAATTACAATGAAAAATGACTTACAAACTTCAGCAAGGTAGAAACCAGTGTTATCCTTGAAAAACTCTGGTGCGAAGACAAAATAACCCTCAAGAACCAAGTGTGTGAGGCCGGTGAATGCCCACCAGAAAATTAGCAGCCTGTCGACTTTTGTTTTCTTGAGTCGTCCTGCGGATTTCACAGTCATTTAAACAAAATCAGAAAACATAAATCCATTTCAAGATGACAGAATACTTGAACTGTCAAGGTTTAACAAGCCAAAATTGTGGCCTATGAAGCACATACACATACATGGACACCGGACATGACACCGACACTAACATGCTGATAATAATTTTAAAAAATAAATAAATTGAACATAATCACAAGTGTCATAGGTGTTTGGTGTTACATAGATCTTGGCAGCCTCAACAATATGACTTGACCTAAAAAAAATTCATGGAAAATCAAGCGATCCAAATACCAATTGACATCAAAGCAAAATGTAAGACTAAGATTTCGACATTAACAAAGAAAAAAAAATAATATTTGAAACTGCACGCACATAGGTTTTACAATGAAAAATAATGGGTGGGTAATTGAATAACAGAAATGAATTGAATTGAAACTTTGATTAAATCAAGTTGAATTTTCGTATCAACTTAAAAATTCGATAGTGAGAATTGTTTACCTGAGAAGATCCATGTGAGGGAAAAGAGGATGAGAGTGAAGGAGGCAAAGACGGTGAGAATGTTGGATTGAGAAAGGAAGCAAGGAACGTAGCCAGGAAGATGCAAGTCTCGCGGAACGTAGGGATGAGGATGTGACGCTTGAGATCCCGCCATGTTGTTGTTCGATCTGAATGAATTAGTGTTTTGACTCTTTTTGAGTTCGATGTTTGAGTGTGTTTTGGTTGGTTAATTTGTGACTTTTTAGGAAAAGGTGAGCTGGCAGACGCATACATATATCACATCGTCTGAAATTAAATTGCGCCGCCCAGTTCAATGTACAGTTTTTATTTTTTAACCGATCAAATCTTTAGATTGAATTTTTAGGGAATTTCTAATTCTACATAAAAAAAAGGCACACTTGAAAGTTTCAAATAACCCTTCCGATTTTATAGATGTATTTCTGAATGTATTTAATAAACGCACCTTTTATTTGTTTTTGAGTCACTCTCAATTTTATAATTAAAATTATTTTAAAAATATATTTTTGAAGTTCGATAATGTATTTTTGAAATTTATTGAAGCCAACAACACATGTTCCTCTACAACATATTTTTCTACAGAAACGTTATCGTTTATGATGTGAAAACGATGTTAAAAATAGAGTATGACAGATTTCTTGAACACAATAAATCCATAAGGTAGGAATCAGGAAAACAAGAAGAACACAAAGAATTGATTATTAATTGATATTCTTTACTTTCTCTTTTAAACAAAATTACAAGTGTCATAAGAATAACAATAATCTCTCTCACCCTAGATTAGGATTTGCAGTATTCAATGATGAGAGACTAGTATGCTATTTATAATAAATCTAACATACTAAGCTAATGGGTTTTTTCACAAATACACATTATAAGTTAACTTAGGGTACAAGCTAACTTAAACAATTGAACTTAACAAATAGGTCCAATTCGACATGCTAACAAACCTAGCAATATCGACTAATGTGTGTTAGAACAAATTCGACTACAACACGCACTACTTCGACAGCAGCATGTGAACAAGCTTCGACCTCATGCTTATTCCCTATCGAACTAGAAGCTACCTTTCGACTCAATAGAGTTCGATCAAATATCTCACAAATCTCCACCTTGGAACAAACTCTACTTCAAAGAATAAACTAGATTTCTTCATGCAGCTTTATCAACTGCATACAATAGAAAAACTTCCAACTAGGCAATGTCTTGGTGATCATATCAACAACATTGTGATTTGTCGAAACCTTCAGCACTTGGACTTCTCCACGCTCAATTACCCATCTGATGAAATTCAGCCTCACATCGATGTGCTTGGTTTGCTCATGATAGGCCGAATTCTTTGACAGGTGTATTGCGCTTTGACTATCACATTTAACAGTGATAACTTGACCTTGAAGTTTCATCTCCTTAGCAAAACCTTCAAGCCATAATGCTTCGTTCACAACTTCAGTGAGGGCAATATATTCTACTTCAGTGATTGATAAGGCAACAACCTTCTGTAGTGTTGCTTTTCAACTGATTGTTGTGCCAAACATAGTGAAAACATATCTAGAAATAGATTTTCTGGAATTCATACAACCTGCATAATCAAAGTCAACATATCCTTCGATTACTGTTTTACTATCGTCACCTAAGGCTTCACCATAAATTAGGACTTTGTTTAAATATCCATTTATGTACCTTAGAATCCACTTCAATGTTTCCCAGTGAGCCTTTCCAGGATTCGCCATGTACCTACTTACAAGACTTACTGCATATATTATGTTGTACAGACCATAGCATACATCAAATAACCTACTATATTAACATATGGGATGTTATTCATATAGGCTCTTTCAACATTGGTATTGGGACACTGATCGATACTCAACTTGAATTGAGGATTTGTTGGAGTCACAACAGGCTTTGAATTCGACATACCAAACTTGTCAAGAATCTTTCGTAGGTATGCCCTTAAGATATGCATAATTTCAATTGCTTTCTATCTATTCGGATGTCAATCTCAAGAATCCTGAATGCTGCTCCTAGATCCTTCATTTCAAACTCCTTATTGAGTTCATCCTTCACCCTCATTTCATTTTTGACATTGTTGCTTACTATGAGAATATCATCCACTTAAATAAATAAAATAAAAAATTAATTACCAGGTCGAAATCTAAAGTAAACATAGTGCTCAAACTGACTTCTAATGAAACTTATGCGTGTCATGAACCTGTTGAATCTCCTATTCCACTATCGAGGAGATTGTTTCAGTCCATATAAAGATCTTTTCAGATTTCACACATAATCTTCCTTCCCCTTTTCGACATACCCTTCAGGTTGCCTCATCATGATTGTTTCATCTAGATCACCATACACGAACACAGTCTTCACATCCATTTGTTTCAGTTAAAGATCGAATTGTGCCACCATGAAAAGTAACATTCAAATGGATATGTGCTTCACAACAGGTGAGAACACATCATTGAAGTTGACACCTTCTTTCTAAGTGAAATCCCTTGCGACCAACCTTGCCTTGTATCTTTTCAACGCCACTCCTTCGATTCCTTCCTTAACTTTGAAAATCCATTTACATTTGACTAACCTGGCTCCAGCAGATTTCTTGATAATTTCCCAAGTGTTTTTATCATAAAGAGATTTTATCTCATCATCCATTCCCTTCATCCGTTCAGTATTATTTCGGCTCCTCATAACTTCCTTATGGTCTCTAGGTTCTTCGTCTATAACCTCACTTACAAGAATTAAGGCATAAGCTATAAGATCTTCATACCCAAGTCTTTGAGGTGGCTTAATGATTCTTCTCGACCTATCTCTTACTAATAGGTAGTCATCGATAGTTCCCTCAACTTTCTCAGCATCTCCTGCTTCTTCTTCGACTTCATCTGGGATACATATTCGGCGTCAACATGCTTCACCTCTACAAGAATCTCTCCTTGTTCCAGCTCTTCGTTAGATATTTCTGAACTTCGACCAACATCATTAGTTTTATTGAAAGTGTCACAGTGAAAAATAGAGGATACAAAGCTATTGAGGAACTTGACTCACAAAGACTTAAGAAGTCACCACCGAACTTTATTGTTTCCAAGGAAAAGGGAAAAGATCGAAACCCTATTGTTTAGCATGCAATGCAAGAAGTAAAGACTAAAATTAAAGCATAAGGAAGAGATCCAAGGTACGAGGGTTGGTTATACAAAGGGAAGGTATTAGCATCCTATGTATCTATAGTACTCTATAGGAACCACTTATAATATTTGTTTTTGGTTTAAAATTGTTTGTTTGTTAAATGAGCGTGGAGATGGGAAAAGAGATGTATTTTGTTGTAATTTTGTTTGGAAAGATATAGTATTATACCTACGTACCAATTAAGGATGAAAACCCCATAGTTCATGGTAAAAATAAACAAAATGATTTGTTGTGGTTGATTTTAGGAGAAAAGATATTTCATCATCTTTTAGAGAGAAAGCTCAACTAATATCACCACAAGTGTGAGAGGATGGATCTTGCACCATCATTAAGGAAGGGCTACTAACTTAGATATAAAGATCAACAAGTCGCCAACTAACATCTTCATGTGGAAAGAATCACATTTAATTCAACAATTACTATGGGGATAGGATAATCATATCTAAACTACGAAGAGGATTTATATCTAATCTCTTTGAGAAAAGTTTTAAATTGAAAATCCAGGTGGCAAAAATATTTGGGTGAGGTTGAATCACTTTTAGTCTTTTGAAATTGTTTTGATAAGATTAAGTATATTAAGGTTTATTAAAGAAAGAAAGTTTGAAAGTGAAATGGCACAAAGTCAAGGTTTTTATATGAAAGTGGTGAAAGTTTGAAAATGATTTTTTAGGGTTAAAAGGGTTCTTTAGAGTACACGTGAATACATAGGGTGAACATTCAGGAGGCTTTTTATACAAAGGGGAATGCACATGCTTATGACTATAAAGTCAACAATATTATCCTTTTTCTTGGATTTGGGGCCCAAGTATTAAATGTTAATTACTATCATAATAACAAACACACACATCACAAGTGTTGAGCACAAATGAAAAGGTTAACATGCTTATCAAGTAAAAGTTGTGACAAGAGATAGGATAAACAAACAAGTAAGAAAACATGGTATCACTTTTCGTTTTAAAGGAGTTTATGAAGGAAATACATCTTTAAAGGACAAGTAATCTCAAGGCACGTGGATAAACAATAAATGGGATCAAAGCATATGAAGTTTGAAGTCATGGGTTGTGGATTAAGGTTTTTTGAACAAGTTATGGTTTAAACATCAAAAAGTCAGGTCCTAAACCTAATTAAAATCATTTTTTCATGGTACAAATATACACAATTTTCATGTTATCAAACAACGTGAATTAGAGACATGACATGGTTATTTAACATGGGTTTATTCAAGAAATCAACAAGAGAACCAAAGAAAAAGTTTTTAAAACAAATAAAAAGGACTTGTTTTGAATTAAATAAAAAGAGATGAAATAAATCATATTTTTGGGATTGTTTCACATATTTATAAAATAGGGTATATAAATAAGGAGTTTGCAAAAAAAATCAACACAAAATGAGTTGTTTTGATTGGTAAGATGGAGGGATAAGGCATCACAAGTTTATGAGCACGAGCTCTTACCCATTTAAGGTAAGGCTCGAGAGGAATGGAATTCTTGTGTCCTAACATCTTGCTATCCACCTTGTTCAACATCCTTCAGGCTCGGATAAATCTCCGGCGGTGACCTTGATCGTCATTCTCATAGTCGAATATTAATCCTTGGATAAGCATCTCATGAGGACCATCCCTCAGGGCGTAACCAAATTGTCTTAAGGCTAAGCAAGGGTTGTAGGTGATACCTCATCTAATTCCAAGTAAAGTGACATTAGGGAATTCTCCACAATGGTCGACAATAGTAACATTCTCCAAAGAGCGGGAACACCAATGAATATCTGAATGTCTGAGCGTCATCAACCTATGTGACCACCTTGAACCTTGCTCATTCTTTAACACAGATTGGGGAAGATGCAAAATAAACCATCTCGCCAAGAGAGGAGTACAACACATAAGGATACCTTTTTTCCTCATTGTACGAGTGTGAAAGGAATGTAGGATGTCCCCTAGCAAAGTAGGCACCGAGT